CTGTGGGCCCCTGCCTCTCTATCAGAGGCAGCAGCACTGGGGTGGGGGAGGAGCTGCCAGCTCCACAGATCCAGTGCTTGTGAAGAGCTGGCTTAAAAGCTGGTCCCCCCCATCCACACACACACTTTCTGCCTCTCATGCGGAGGCAAGGGAGGGGGGGAGTGCGTGTAGTCGATAAGATTAACCGATTAGCCCAGGCGTATCGGTTAATCGTGTACTCAACTACATGTTGACATCCCTAATGACCTGCTCCCACAGTGCAAGAGGACTGTGTTTAAGAGGACCTGGAGTTGACAGGGGAGCTAGGAATGATCTGCAAGCACTGGAGTTGGATTATCCTGAGAAAACCAGGATAATCCTGGGAAAACCTGGATGGGTGATAGGTGCCCAGTGGCTTCTCCAAAGCTAGGTGAAACATTCACACTCTGGTCCAGCTACTCTACCCAGGAATTTAGAGCCTGGTCCTCAGATTATTTGCTTAGATAACACACTAACGAGCTTCTAAGAAATCTCTTAGCTCTTACTAACTTTGCATCCCTCCAAGACTGAACTCCAGCGGAACAGGGGCGTGTTTATTTCTCTCTCCCACACGCACACACGGGCGTGTAACAAAGCTGACCGCTCAAAGCATGCAAAAGGGTTGCACTGAGTTGATCCTTTGAACTCAACCACACCCCCATGAATCTACAAAACGCTGTGGGCCCCACAGCCCAACGGCCCTCTGATTATGGAGAGGGCCCCTAGCGTGATGGCAGAACCTCCCTCTAAGCGATTCATGGTGTGACTGTGCCAGTCATCCACCCTCAGGGACAGCCCAGTTCATGTATCCCGATCGGAAGGACACACAGCCCCATGGGGGAACAACTAAACACATGGCTGCTGGATCCTGCAATTCCTCACACCCTGAAAATTTCTAGTGACGCCAACAAGAGTTTTTGGGACCAAAAGAAATGCGGGATCAATCCCCACTTGTCTGACCTGCCGACCAAGATTCTTACACTCATAGAAACTCAGGGGTGCCCCCCGACCCACGGAGCCTCCATAGAGCCTCCAGCTGCTTTCATCAGGCAACTTGGGAAAGGAAACAGAGGGCCCCGTTTCAAGGGCAGCTCTTCCACTCACCCCAAACGGGGTTGCCGGTCTCCCAGCAGCATTAGCTGCGCGTTAGTCAGTCCTACAGAGGACACCAAACTTCGCTCGTGCAGTCCAAAAGGCTGCTGCAAAAGCTCGCCTGCTCTTTCTTCTCGTCTTTCACAAAGGAGAACTCTCGCCTGCCATGTTGGGGGACATTTTAGCCGAGATGTTTATTCAAGGAAACTACTTAAAAGATTCAAAGTTTTGAAATAGAGAGAAACTGCTAATTCTCTCTCTGGGCATCTAGTCCCTTGTCCTGAAATGCATTGAAAGCAGCCCACTGTCTCTTTGGTTCCCCCGGCTGCATTTAGTTGATGAAGTTTGTTAATTAGGGATATGCTTATTCATTTCCTGCCCCCACGGCTCACCGGCTCCTTCGCCGTGCCAACGTAAGCAGCACAAAGCCTGTCTCATTGATGCCAATTTTATTATTACTGCTCCAATTATGCTCCCTAGGCCTGTTGGTGCCAATTACCCAACGAGTGCTCGGAAGGCGGCCCCGGCTTCACAATGCGTGTTCACGTTCGGAATCTAAAAACAGGTCAGCCGCATTTTTCTTGCTGAAAGGCTTTCCCAAAGCAAACACCCTTTTGTCTCCTCCAGAAGCCGCCTGGGTGTTGCGCTACGATGAAAACAGACTGCTTGACCTGCATTCATGCCTCCGTGGAGCAAAGGAGAGCCACTCAAATTCACCGAGGCAAGGGCTATCGTTGGTGGACTGTGCAGTCACCAGGTTCCCAGGCTCAGTGCAACGTAACTGATCCGTGGCCTGGCTCAGCTTCACTCTGGGCCCTGTTTCTTCAGCTGCACGAAAGCGTCAGAGGGAAATGAGTCTGGTTCGGGTGCGGGAGAGTCAGGGCAAAAGACGCTGGTGACCGTAGCGGACAGCCTGCCTTGGGAGAAACAGCATGAAGATGGGCTGGAAAGGCCAGGGCTCACTCTGCCCACATGCTGTTCACAGAGGAACTTTTTCCTTCCAAACCTCATTGCCAACATTTTACAGTGATGAGAGTCAGGCTCCTAAATCCCCCATTTAGGCACTCAAATCCATGGCTCATTTCCAGACATGAAGTATCCAGCGGATCCCATGGACACCAGAAGTTGCCACCGGGGGCTCAGTACTGATACAGGAATTGCTAGACTGGACCAGATCTGAGGTCCATTTCGCCCAGTCGGGGACAGTGGCCAATGCCATATGCTTCAGCAAGGGGCAGGAAACCCCACAGCCAGCCGAAGTGGGACAATCTGCCCCCATCTCCCTAACAGCTGCGAAATGTCAGGTTTCCCACTGCAACTTTTCTACCGGGGCGGCCGATCTAACGTTAGAGATTCCTAGCATCAATCTGTGCCACTTACGCCAGCTAGCAGGTGAGATTTGAACCTGTGACCTTGGCACACGAACCCAGATAATTTCCACGGCACAACCAAGCCACCGCACTCCTGAAAACCAGGCCACGTGGGCTGGCTTTGCGCTCCTGTTTCTTATCATCTAGGCCCAGAAGGTCCGGGTCTGAAAGCAAACAGACTTGAACTTTTATCAGCCTGCTAAGAGGTGCCAGCAAAGCTAGCAGGCAGAGTGAAAACCGACAGGTTTTGCTGCATCCCCTCATGTATGTGTATGCCTATATTAAACAGACCCAGAATAAGCCAGGCTAGAGCCCTACAAAACTGCAGATATCCGCTTTATAGGTGCGGGTATCCACAGCTGCAGATATGGATGCAGATATCCGCGGCTCATTTTTGCGGCTGTGGATACAAATTTTGTATCTAGAACCCTGCAAATGTGTAGATATCCGCTTTATATCCGGATGGACGTAGATATCTGAGTATCGGTTTTTTGGATGCAGATGTGGATACCAATTTTGTAGCCACGCAAGGCTCTGTTGTAGACTGTATCATTTCAAATACGGGGTCTGGATAAATATTTCCAATGCACGAATATATATTGTGGCATTCATTTTTTAAAGGCTTGTTTGGGTGTTGCTTCTCCCACTCTGGCTCAGGCCCAGAGGTACCTGGTACCACCCCAAAGTGTGATACCACTCACCAGCTGTCAGAGTGTGAGGGAATCACTCAGCCCTACACCCCCATCTACCAGCCAGCAGGAAGAACAGAAGATTTATTTGCTGACAGGGGCACAGAGTAGCACAGACTTGTTGTTACAGGAACCGTCAGTACAATCCATCTTGAGGACAGGGGGACCCAGACCCCTGGCTCTGGCCCTTGCCCGGCCCCCCAACCCAGCTAGACTCCCTTCTCCCTAAGCCAGCCGAAAAACTGAACTCACACACCCAGCAACTGGTCTCAGCCCTCTAGGCAGCCCCACCCACTCCTCTGTCCTGTTTCCTGGGCCCAAGGTGTTATCTGCTGTCACCTGGTCCTCAGGACATGAGAGACTGAACATACTTCCACAGTGAGTCCTGCTCAGCCTTCCCCTCCTCATCCAGATAATGTTGCAGTGCCCAGGGAAACTGAGGCAGGCACACACACACACACACACACACAGAGTTACTACAGAACACCACAGCCCTTCAACATCACAGCCCTTCAACACAACAAAGCAAACAGAGCGAATATAAAAGAGTGAATACAAGGATTTCATTAATGCATACAGTCCCCATTATATCACACCAGCCATTAACATCAATGACAGAATCAGGACCTCAATGATCCCTCTAATTTTTTTCCATCCAGGCGCAGAATAAATTTTGTTACATGCACCAAGGCATGTGCTGATGTGCACCGCTACCAGAAACACACGCTGCGGGCGCTCTGCTAATCAACTGGGTGGCATTTTCTCCTGCCCAAGTGCTCAGCTTGGAGGGAACACTGGCCCTCGGTGTTTATTTTTCTCCTAAATCATGGCCGTGGCTGTTGCATTGTTAGTGGTGGTGATTAATTGCTAGTGTCAGAGCTAGGATGTCCACTGAGAGTTGCTGGTGCTCAGCACGTCTCAGGGTTAAGCCCAGAATGACAGACGTGGGTTGATTACAATGGCCTGTTTCCAATTCCTGTACGATGACTTTCCCAACTCTGTTCCCTTTTTAATACGTTGCAGTTCCTCATCATCCCACCCCTCATCTCAACTGTATCGCAACGGCAATAACCTCACCACATGCCCACGGTCCACGTCGTGCACTCCTGACTCGCACATATAACCTCGCCGAAAGCTACGCCCGCTCGTGCGAGCGGGCACGCCCCAGTGCGTGGGCTGCACAGCCCAGCCCTAAACGAGCAAGCTCCTGCTTCAAAGGGGATGGATTTTCACACTCCTGCCTTCTCGGCTTGCTCTAGGCGCTTCTATTCAGCCTCCTCGTGGAGTTACGCTAGTTAATCCACAGCAGCCCAGGCATAAGGAAACCATCCAGAGAGGACTGTTGTTCATCCGTAATTACTTCCCTACATTCGGGCAAGTGATGTTCTGAGCATTTGGAACCAATTCACACCATCCTCGCAGGGTTGATGTACAGATGTGGGCTTCCTCAGTGCAGTAATTCCAGACCTAAATTCTGCAGCACGACGTGTAACTGTTAACACCGTCTCAATGCTCCGAGGAGACCCAGCTGTACTGCCATTCTGGAGGGGAAGTTTATTTCGTGGTGACACAAGTCAGCCTCTCCGGTGCTGTATTCAGACTGTTAAACCATCCACTCGCGATGCTAGGTGTGTACATCACACACCGGCTGCTGTTTGAACTGCTGGCCTTTGGCAACAAAGCAAAATGCTGGATTATATGGGGCTAGATCAGTGGTTTCCAACCTTTTCCAGCTGGGGACCCATTGTGACAATTCAGGAAGGCTTGGTGACCCAAGGCAATTCAAAAACGGGGGGTGGGGGGAGCAGGGCCACCTGGGGAGACACTTGGCAACCCTTTTGAAATGTAATGGTGACCCACATTTGGGTCGCGACCCATAGCTTGGGAAACCCTGGGCTAGATCCTTAGCTCCTGAAAACCAGCACAACTGTGTTGACTTCAAGGGAATAACGTTGATTTTATATCAGCCGAAGTTCACACCCATAGAGCCCATATACTGTAAGTCTGAGTCTAGTAATTAACCAACTACTTACAGGATGTGACAACCACACAGAGAGGTGGTTGGAGGGAGCAGAGGACGGAAACAGACGAAGGAAGAGAGTCCTGTTTCCAGAGTACATGTGGCGTGTCTGATTTCTTATCAGTTGTTTAATTAACTAATTAGGATAATCAGATGCGATACAAATAGTCTGTTGTTATAAATGGTTACAAGCATCTTGTTAGCTAAAGTTTAGCTAAAGATCTAATTGCAGCTGATCCCAGACTCATTCTCTGACCAGCCAACTCTGAAGCTTTTTGCATCTGTAAAACGGGGGAAATAATACCCCAAGAGGGGGTGGGTGAGGGTTAATTCAGGGTTGTATTTTAATTTGGGGCAGACATCTCAGGAGCTTTAGTACCGTAAGTAACATACAAGCTTGGCTGCATTAGAGAAGTTCTTACAATGATATAGGTCGGAGATAGGTGATTGTTCTGCCCGGAGTTATGAGATAAGAATGTGGGGACACTCCCACCATTTCAAGGTGTCTGTCACCAGTTATAAGGTAATCGCTGGTTAAAGAACAATCTGCTCCTACGTTCACGGCCAGGATTTTCTACATTTTAAAAACATTTACTGAAAATAAGGCAGCGCTTGGATCCTGCACCGACAGGGGGTCTTACGAGAAGCTGAAAGAGACAGAGATTAATGTCTGCCCCTTGCGCTCTCAGAACACTCCACCTTGGAACAGTCGGCTAAAAAACGATCCATGGGAGGAGCTTAGAACGCGGGTACATTTTGTAGACTCTGTAAGACGCAATGGTACATCCAGGGCTGGATTAAGGCACGGGCTAGCTGGGCAGCTGTCCAGGGTGCCAACCTATGGGGGGGCACCTGATGGCAGCTGTAAGGGGTGGGCAGCGCCCCTTATAGCTGCCATCAGGCACTGTGCACCTGGCTCCCGGATCGATGGGAGGAGCTTAGAACGCGGGTACATTTTGTAGACTCTGTAAGACGCAATGGTACATCCAGGGCTGGATTAAGGCACGGGCTAGCTGGGCAGCTGTCCAGGGTGCCAACCTATGGGGGGGCACCTGATGGCAGCTGTAAGGGGTGGGCAGCGCCCCTTATAGCTGCCATCAGGCACTGTGCACCTGGCTCCCGGATCGCAGGCTGCAGCAGCTCCCAGCGGCCTCCCTGCAGCGCTGGCCAGCAGCACCCTTCCCCCCGTGGCCACAGGGCCCTGCATGGCCTGGCTCAGCCCGCCCCGGGTGGCTCCGGGTGCACGCCAGTGGTGGTAGCCGGGTTGGGCCGGGCCAGGCACGTGCATCCTGCTGCCACCAGCTCCGTGTGCCCTCCCCCACACGCCGGCGTGGGGGCAGAGCCGCGCATACGCCCTCCCCCAACCTGGGGCACAATTAAACTATCTGCCCGAGGCGCTGGAATGGCTCAGTCCAGCCCTGGGTACATCTGAAGGTCTTACAGCCAAAAAACCTTGCCCTTTTGTAGAAATTCTTGATCACAACCTCCTGGCACGGCCAGGTGGAACCGCAGCACCAGCACACCTTAGGAAGTAGACTTAACCAGCTCACCTAGGCGAGTTAACTCATACTGCTTCACTTTCTTCTTGAGCTTTATGGGCCCCACGTCCCAGCTCTGCTCTTCTGTGCCATCGGACGGGCTCTCGTCGCTTGCCTCCTCTGTGCCCACTTCCCGATAGTACAGCTTGTAGCCTGAAATCTGGCCATGGTTGGCTGGGGGCTGCCACGTGAGCAAGAGGGATTCCATTTTCGCTCGGACTTTTAATTCCGTCGGGGCAAATGGAACTAGAAAAACAAGAGGAAAGAAACCCACATTTCAGCAACTGCTCAGTGCACGTTAGACCTCCCTGGTCTGGAATCTCTGGGACCTCACTGGTCCTGAAGGGGGGAGTTTGCCAGATCAGGGGAGTTGGGCCCCTCTGCCGATGGACGGTCTCTGCCAGCAAATTGTCAGGCTTCCCTGTCCCCAGGTCACTGCGCTCCTGGCTCCACCGGGCTGCAAGGACTCTACTGCCCCAGAGACTCAACCCATGGCCACTGGGGTTCCGCAGCCAACTGCTCTTCTGGGGCTTTCTGCTGCCGGACTTCTCAGAGTCCCAGACCAGAGAGGTTAGTAATTTCCTTGCTTTGCTAAGGGGCTTCCTTCTCTCCACCTCAGAAGGACAGGAAAGATCTGTCCACCCCTGGTGCAGAGGCGCTGTGATGAGTCTATCCCTGCATGGGCCAAGCAGCTAAACACAGACGAATGCAACTGATGTTCATCTACATACCAAGGGGGTGCAATCTAGCAGGCTGAGCTAGAGACTGGGAGCTACAGAGGCGGGGGAGGGTTTGCCCGCCCTAGTCTGAGTCAGCTGCAGTGCTCCCTTGCCTGGCTAGTAGCCATTGGTGCTGCGTTCATCTCTGCACGTCCGTTTTGCCTCCCCACCTCCAAACATCCCCATGCTCATTTGTCATGAGTCTTTGTTTTTAATCCTGCAGCCTGAACAGATCTGGGAGGTGGGGGAAGGACCCATCAGCAAGGCACATGGAGAAACAATTCTGGTTCTCTACCATAAATGGGAAACTAGGGGAGGAGTTCTGGTGCAACCGCGACCCTGCGCGGCAATTCCCTCAGGTAGACACAAGCCATGTGAGGTTGAGTGAGTCATCTAGTCTGCCTGCCTCCGCATCCCCGGCTGTGAAATGGGCACCAGGGGCCTGATCTTCCCCCTTCACCGGGAAGCTGCTACAAGCCCCAGCTCAGAGAAACGAGGGAGGCTGCCCGCGCCCAGCCCTCTACCGTGGGTTTGGTTGTCCCTGTCCGGAGTACGATGCTGCGTCCACTCCGACGGGGCTCCGTAGCCCGCACTGGTGCTGGCCGCAATGCGCACTTTATAGACTTTATTGGGATGCAGCGACTCCAGGGTGATTTGCGTCTCGTTCGCGCCCACCTCGGTGGAGGAGATCTGATCTGCGAAAGCCAAGGGAACGCCAGTGAGACGTCTCCATTCCAAGCAGGGCGCACGTGCTCTGGGGCGCAGAGCCAGCAGCGCAAGCCCCATGCTGCACGTTCGGAGGAGGAGGGACTCGCATGGTGCTCTGCCCAGCGGCCAACGTCCCTCCACGCCACACGGTCAGGCAACAGCGCAAGGCTGATTTCTAATGAGAAAGGGGCCCGTGTGGGAACTGGGACTCGGGAATCCCTTTCCTGCTGTGACTCAGGGTCGCACTCCGCACTGGAAGGGGTCTGAGCTCCACAACGCACTCCTCCCTCCCCACCGTTCCTAGCTGGAGACAGCCGGAATCTCACCGGAACAGCTGAGGGGGTGAAATTTCCATCATTCGAGCTGCCAGACATCGCAATGTCTTGGGACAAATCTCAGAAGAGCTCCTCCTGAGATTTCGGCGCCATCAACCCTGCAGCCAAAGGCTTGTCGTAATTAACCGATACGAACCAAGGGCCTTAGCCCTGAGTCGTGGCCCTTCAAATCCAGACCCAGATCTGAACACGGTCTCCTCAGATCATCCCTGCTATACGGTGCCATTAGCTAAAGCTTTAAACAGAGCCTGGTTGGCGGTTTCCACTGGAGCGACATGACATCCTGCCTGCGCACCTGGGGACATTCTGCCCTTAACGTTAAGGCAGGGTCTACGCTGCAGCCGGGAGGCGTCCCCCAGCGCGGGTAGACAGATGCAGGCTAGTTCTGCTCACGCTATTGCACCAAAAACAGCGCTATCGAAGCAGCAGGTCTGGCAGTAGCTTCCCAAGTCCATGCCCACCTGATCCCGTAGGTCTGAGCTGGGAAGCTAGAGGAGCCGCCCATCAGGCTGCCAAATCCACACTGCTATTTTTGGCACGCTAGCAGGAGCAGAGCTCCTCTGGCCATGCTGGGAATCCCACCTCCCGGCAGCAGTGCAGACACCACGCCCACATGCCGCGGCGCAGACGTTTCAAATGCTGCCCGCTGGTCCATCAGGTTGTGAGCCGCCACCTCTGAGCACCAAGAAGCAGGCGTCGCGGCACAGAACATAAACACAGCGCAAACCCAGGGGAATGTGACACTTTGCCGCCTTCTCTAGCCCCTCCCCACAGCCATGGGGCGCGGGCGCAGAGCTAGGAACGCGATAGGGGCTGGGACGCCGGCCCTGAGGAGAAAGCATCCACGACCCCACTGAAGGGTTAGTGTACGAACTCCACAAATAAAGCCAGACAAAGCTGAAACCTGGCAATGGTGGTTACATGGGCTTGCCAGGACACCATGCTCTGAGGTAATTCCAATTCCAGTTCATCCACTGCACTTCCCCATCTACCCCCGAAACATTAAACCCCTGCCAAACCACCCGCCAATTACCCTCTGATGCTGGCCTGCATGAAATGCAACGCTCAGTCCAGCTCCCACGTGGCCACAGGCCCACGGGGCAAAATCCACAGCCACGAGTTGGCTCTGGGGTTTGAATTCCTGCCTCACCCTTTCAGGGGCGGATTGAGACACGTCGGTGGGGCAGTATAGGAAGGCCTGTGGCACGGCTCTCTAAGCTGTGCATCTCCTGTGGATAAAAAGAGGCGTCTGCTCCCAAAGGGCCCAGCCCAGCTCCTTGGCCAGCATTAAAGGCATCCACTCCTGAGAACTGCCCTCATGCACCCCCCCTCGGCTTCCCACAGAGCCCCTTTCCTCCTCACCTTCCTTCACGGTACAGTAGTCAATTTTGTATTTCGTGATCTTCCCGTTGCTCAGTTCCGGTGGAAGCGGCAGCCACGTCACTCTGATATCGGCAGGGGTGGTGCTCGACAGAGACAGCTGAGGAGCAGCGCTGGGAACTAGGACCAACACACGGAGGAGATTTCGCCTCACACCCAAACCAAGAGCCACACGCTGCTTCCGGAGGAGGGACTAGCTCCACTTTGGAGCGCATAGGTCTGAGCCAAAGGGCTTCAGGGGTTCTGGCATCAGCTTTAGTATTGCCCAAGCTGGACCCCTCCTCCTGGCATTTCGCTTATCCGTTTGCTTCCCGAATGTAAACACAGATTACCCTGCCGACGCTCAGAAATGCTCCCGCTTCCACTCCGGATGGGGAAGTTGGACTCAGACAGGCCTGCCTGCTTTCAGTTTTTTGCCACGGAAACAGAAAGATTGAAGGCCACGGGGGAAGGCTCACGGATCTAAGCATCGGGTCTGAAAAAACACAAGACTCCCTGGAACTACAGATTTGTATTCCAGACAGCCGTTCCTACTCCGAGGCAGGATGTGATGGGGAGTGCGCTCCATGCCAGCCCTGACGGGGTTACGGTGGCTCATGAGGGGCCAATTAACCTTCTACTGCACCTCAGGGGGAGTCCATCTCGACTGGGTAAGTCTAACGGAACACGAGGACCAGCTGGACAGGAGCAGGCAGGGCTTGCATAGACAGCGCCAAAAGCTGAGTTAAACTATTTCGACTTCAGCTACGCAACCGATGTAGCTCAAGTTGCCTAGATTAATTCGACTTTAGCCCTGCCGTGTAGACGTGCCCTATATGAGTGGATTTCAGATTAAACTTTACAAGTCATGTGTGGACTTGACAGATCCCATAACCGAAGGGGTTTGCCTGGTATGTGGCCCAAAACTCCCCTTAATGCCACTATCATATAGCATGTTGTGGGATGGCTGGCCTGTGCCCTCTATGCCTGGGTGGGTGCCTTTTGGTAGCATTCTGTCTATACTGTGCATAAATTGCTTTGGAAAGAAAGGGGATAGAAATGCTAAATGTTATTTTTTACATAAACTTGACTGCAGGCCTGATCCCAAACCACTGCTGTCAATGGGAGTCGTTTCATTTACTTTAATGGGCTTTGGATCAAGTTCACGTAGAGTGAAATCACTGATGCCTAAGTAAAATCCAGAATGGCTGACTGCAATGCAAGTAACGGTGCCTGTGTGGCAACTGAACCAGGATCAGAAGCCAGCAAGATAACATCTAAAGCCTTCTGCTGCTCCGCAGATCACTAGTCCCCCCTCCATGAACAAAAAGCCTAAATAAATACCCAGATGCAACAAGCAACATTAGCAATACACCTTGATTTCTGCAAGTTGATGCCATTCTGTGTAGGGCATTTTGTGATGTCTCCATTTGTGGAAGCATAACGATTTCTTGACCTACCTAGTCATTCAACTGTGCACTTACAAATAGCCAATCTTCTACAAAGGAATTTCACCAGCCAGTTACAGAGAGAAATTGCAGAACTGGAATTCATCTACAAATTTGACCCTGTTACCCTAGGCTTGAATAAAGACATTAACTAGCTAACGCACTACAAAGCCAATTTCCCCTGACTTTAAAATCTGCATTTTCACATGAATATGCAGAATTGCTATGAATATGCTATGAATTGGAAACATCTAACCCACTTAATTAGCTTCATTAACACAGGTCCTAAATTTGACAGGTACAGGTTGGACCTCCCTCCTCGGGCACCCTTGGAACCTGACTGCTCCCAAACAAGGGGAGGTCCCTCCCAACATGGCCCGTGCTGCCCCTGGCTAGGACTCCAGCCCAGCTCCACTGCTTCCTACCCAGCTGTGGCTCCCCAGGCCGGAGCTCTGCAGCTGCCACTCCTGGGGCCAGAGCTCCACAGCTGCTGCTGCCAGGACCGGAGCGCTACAGCTGGATCTCTGTGGCTGCAGCGGCAGGCCCCCGGGCTCTGTGGCTGGGGCCGGTGCTCTGCAGTTGCTGCTGGCCCTCCCCCTACCACCTGGCTGCAGGGCGCTGCATGCCCCTCCCTCAACACAAGGCTCCTGGCTGAGTTGTTGCCCCTCCCCCAACTCCTGCCCTGTAGCCCGACTTCCTTATACCCGGGCTCTCTGGTCCCAGACAGACCATGGATGTTGCCAAACTGGAGAGCCTCGGTAACGGAGGTACAATCTGTAATTCTTTTGTGTTATCTCTCTCTCTCTCTCGGATTCAGTTATTTCCATTCCAAGGGTATGTCTACACTGCCACCCTAGTTAGAACTAGGGTGGCTAATGTAGGCATTCGAACTTGCAAATGAAGCCCAGGATTTAAATATACCTTGTAGGAGGAATAATGGTAGATCGAATTAGGAGCTTTAATTGGAACTACCTAGCCCGGGCCGCGTGTAACTGCGGGCAGATAGTTCGAACTACAGGGCATTTAAAAATGGCAGCGCCCGGGAACATGCAAATGAAGCCTGGGATATTTAAATCCTGGGCTTCATTTGCAAGTTCGAATGCCTACATTAGCCACCCTAGTTCGAACTACGGTGGCAGTGTAGACATACCCTAACTCATCTGATGAAGTGGGTCTTACCCATGAAAGCTCAGGATTCTATATGCTTGTAGTCTCTAAAGTGCCACAGGACTACTCGTTGATTTATTGGTTGTTTGAAAACATTTTCAGAAACCCCAGTCAGTGCAGGTCTACTCAACGCACCATCCTCCAGTGTCCGCACGATAACGGAAGAGGACGTCCGACTGGCTCCTAGCTGGGAGTATGCAACCATGTAGAAAACGTAATTGGTGTCGGGTTCCAGGTCTTTTACTTGAAGCTCAGTGGTATCATTATTGACAGCAAACTGGTATTCCACATTGTCGGTTCCTGGAGACAAGGCACAAACCCATCATCAGTACAGCAAGTAGGAAGCAAAATACCTGTCAAGTTCAAAATTGGCTCGTCCACAAGGTCAACACACTGTAGCTTTCCCTCTTTGAAACCATTATGGCTTGACTCTGGTCCTTCCTCTGCCACCGTCTCTGGTGTCTACCACCTTCTTCTGTCACGTTCCATCATATCTTAAGCACTGAGCTCTCTGAGCTGGGACATTAGATGCCCACGTGCGAACATTTTGGCCACAGTTAACTGACACCTAAATCCATATTAAGGCACCTACACCAGACACTTGATTTTTCAGCTGAGCTCTTGCTTCCCACCGACATCCACAGAAGTGGGAAGTTCTGCGAGAAATTCTCTGAACGCCAGACCCTCAACTGTAGATTTTGATGCCTCGCTTTTGGGACCTGAGTTTGACCATTTTAGCCATTGTCGTTGCCTCTTGGCACCAAGAATTTTTCTGGTGTTTCAGAGGTTCATCGGTCATAATAAATGTGGTACACAAAATCAAAAGCACACCAGGGTCAGAACAGAAGACAGGCTAACAGCAACGTTTTCAGAAGTGCCTATATCTCTGGGATTTAAGCTCCTATAAATCTCGCAGAGTAAAATTTTCAGGAGTGTCTGAGTGAGCACGTTGTAGAGGTTCACGTACTCATGGCTCAGTTTTTCACAGCCATCCGGAGGACGTAGCAGAGGTGTGGAAGGTGGGAGATTGCTTAGTCTGGCTGGGATGCCAGATAAGAATCAACGTTTTCAGAAGTGCCTATATCTCTGGGATTTAAGCTCCTATAAATCTCGCAGAGTAAAATTTTCAGGAGTGTCTGAGTGAGCACGTTGTAGAGGTTCACGTACTCATGGCTCAGTTTTTCACAGCCATCCGGAGGACGTAGCAGAGGTGTGGAAGGTGGGAGATTGCTTAGTCTGGCTGGGATGCCAGATAAGAATCCCAACA